TGTAACATTGGCATCTTCTTCATTATGCAGACAGCCTCATTATTAGGTTTTTTGTAGAGTTTGCTGATAACAGCCGACTGAGTTCCATTTAGCTGCCAACCTTTGTCATAAATGCAGCACTATTAGTGGTAGTACCTACACTCTTTTTCATTGAAAGCTCAAAATCACCTAACCTATTATTCACAAGCTTAACACATTTTTCTGCTGGAATTGTTCCAAAAGCATGAATCAATCCTAGAATCCAAAATTCGTTGTCAGTGTACATGTTTTTGATGAAATCATCTGGACAAATATCTTACTAAAAATACTTATAAAACTAAAATTATAAAACTATAATAAATAAAACTTAAAAAACTAAAATAAATAAATGCTTTCTAAATTATTTTGCTTAGATTAATTATTTTTTTATTTATTTTTTTACATTTTGTTCATTTTCGTCATATTAATACAATAGACAAGTATTTCTTCTGTAGCTGAATTTATTGATTATTACGATATTTCTATAAAAAAGTTAGTTTTGTAAAAATTCAAACAATAGTTTAATTCAAACTATAGTGTTAAAATAATTGACAAGTTTTTCTTCTGTAGCTGAATATATTGATTATTTCAAAATTTCAACAAAAAGTTTGTTTTTTCAAAGATTATTTTTTATTTTTTATTTTATCTGAATTTATTATTAAATGATTTACATGTTTTATATTATTTTTATTTGCAATTTAATTTTTTGTCACAACGGTGAGCAAGACATGTAACATACTCCTTGCCTGATGGCTTGTAACAATGCCTGTATTTTCTCCCACTCTTCACAAATAATAACGCAACAGTGTTTTTATTTGTGAAGAGTGGTACTTTGCAAAATTTACTTGTTTAGTAGATTTTAGACAAAATGGAGAAAAGCGGTAATTATTTAATTACCAGTGCTTTCTTCTTTTTAAATTTTCTTAAATTGAAATAAATTTGTGTGGTTCATTGTGTTAAAATGCATGTTTCATTGCATGATGTGAAAGTAGTTACCCAATGATTTGTTGCTTGGTGATTTTATATTTTATAATGAGCAAATGTTGAGTGGGTTAAGGAAAAACTAAAAAAAGAAGTTGTGGCATTGGGAAAGAATGCTTTTTCAGATTTTGAGGAATATCAGATTTTTGAGGACTTTTAGATTTGTCTAATTTATAGTTGGAGAGGTCTTAGTTACTGTGTTAGCTAACCTGTAATTTACTATATACTTATGTATGTATTCTGTCTAAAACTCTTGCGTGCTGTTCACTCACCTGTAAGTTGCTATTAGTATGTTTGCATTCTGTCTAAACCTCTGGTGCGGTGTTTGCTCACCCGTTAGTTACTTTATGTATGTTTGTTTAAACCTCTAGCCCAGTGTTCATTCAAAAGTTACTTTATGTATTTTTGTGTTCTGTCTGAACCTCTTACACATGTTGGTTCATCTATAGGTTACTATATGTTTGCATTCTGTCTAAACTTCTGACATGGTGTTCAATCACCCATAAGTTACTTTATTTATGTTTGTGTTCTGCTTAAATCTCTGTTGCAGTGTGATCTAAGTAAGTGATCTAAGTGTGAGTAAACAACTAGTAACTCCAACTATAGCTCACCTCAATCTCAATATTCTTTTAGATGTCTTTCCTAATACAAGGTTGCATTTCCTAAATATTTCCATCATCGTTTTTAAGTAGTCATTGTTTTAAAGTACTTGCTTACAAGGTGTAACTTCTTCATTTAACTACTTCAGGTTCAGGATTATTAGGATCATCTTGCTACGGGTATCATGTAATCCAATACTACCTACCCCATGCCCTGCTGCCTTGTAGGGTTTGCCTTTTTTTAAATAAAAGTTAGGAGAAATAAACTCTGACTTAAAAATCTGCCTGGGACTCTTGGTTGAGTAATGGCTAGAGCTGGTATCTCAATTAAAATAATTATTTTGGGTACATGTTAAGAGACATAACTAACTTTTTTAATTTAGTCGAAGCTCTCCTTTTCTGTTTTGTTGTAGGCCAAAAGTTCACCATAATATACGCCACAATCTACAGACTTGGTAATTTGTTCAAGCGCATTTCATTCCTAAGAGTTTCAGTACATGATGTCATTGATTTTTTTGTTTGTTTACATAATCTATCTTTTACACACAAAAAAAATCAATAATGTCATGTACTGAAACTCTTAGGAATAAAATATGCTTGAATAAATTATCAGGTCTGTAGACTGCCGCATATATTATGCTGACTCTTTTTGGCCTACAACAAAATGGAGATGGCAAGCTTTTACTAAATTAAAAAAGTTAGTTTTTCTTGGTATGCATTTATTCTTTTGTTTTAATCAAAAAAGTTCAGTCCAAACATTTTTTTTTATAATTTCCTTTAAGATGAACAAAACATGTCTCAGAGGTTTGTTATTCCTATAAATTATGAATAAGTTCAACTAAATCCAGAAATCCATACTAAAGTTCAACTAAATCCAGAAATCCATGCTAAAGTTCAACTAAATCCATTGCAATGGAATTGCAATGATTTAATTGCTTTATTTTTTTGTGCCTATTTTTACGAAGAATTGTTAAAAACTTTTTTTTTAACTTGACTAACTAATCAGAACATGAAATGATTAAAAATTACTATTTTAAATAAACTAAGATGTTTAAAAAAATTTTTTTTTTTTTTTTTTTGAAACATTTTGAAAAAAATGTTTATAGAATTTAAAAATGATATGAAATAAATGAAACAAAAATGACACTTTTTAATTAAAAAAAAATTGTTTATTCATTTAAAAATCATTAGTAGTAATTTGTAAAAGCGTTTTGTATCACTTTAATAAAATATTTCAAAAGATAAGTTTTAAAGTAATTTATTTCAAAAGATAAGTTTTAAAGTAATTTATTTTAAAAGATAAGTTTTAAAGTAATTAATTTAAAAGATTAGTTTTAAAGTAATTTATTTCAAAAGATAAGTTTTAAAGTATTTTATTTCAAAAGATAAGTTTTAAAATAATTTATTTTAAAAGATAAGTTTTAAAGTAATTTATTTAAAAAGATAAGTTTTAAAGTAATTTATTTCAAAAGATAAGTTTTAAAGTAATTTATTTCAAAAGATAAGTTTTAAAGTAATTTATTTTAAAAGATAAGTTTTAAAGTAATTTATTTCAAAAGATAAGTTTTAAAGTAATTTATTTCAAAAGATAAGTTTTAAAGTAATTTATTTCAAAAGATAAGTTTAAAGTAATTTAACTTAAAAGATAAGTTTTAAAGTAATTTATTTCAAAAGATAAGTTTTAAAGTAATTTATTTCAAAAGATAAGTTTTAAAGTAATTTATTTCAATAGATAAGTTTTAAAGTAATTTATTTCAAAAGTTATTAAAAGAGTAACAAAAAGTATTTTAGCTTCGAGTTTTTTGTGTTTTATTTTAGTGCTTACATATTTTCTTTTTCGTAAGGAATTGTTTTCTTTTTTCATTATTATTATTTTTTTAATTTTCTGCTTAGTTTAAGTTTAGCAAGCGTTTCTTTTTTTATTGCATTTCTAAAATGTTTAAAAATCATCTAAACATCTAAACAATCATGGTCAAGTTGTCAAAAGTTGTCAGCAATAGTGCTTGATCGCACACCATTCCTGTCCAAGCCTGCAACAGCTGTAAGTTGTTAGAGTATTAACAGTGTCATTTTATGCATAGTTGGTTTCCTTGGTAATGTTTTTGGTGTGTATTGTCGAGACTACATAAGGAGGCTTAAGTTACAACTTTGAGTTAATTAGCAGGACCTGAACAACTGCATAGCTCATTGCTTGAAATGCTGTGCTCTATATATGAATGAGTCAAGTTCTCTTTAAACTTGAATCATGCCTAAAGTAACACAAAATGTTAAACCTAAAAACCATCCCCACTACCTAACTGTTTCAATATATCTTTCATAAATATTCGTGGTCTTCATCAGTTGAATGTTACCTCTTGTAAAATTCAACAGACTTGCTCTTTGTGAAACTATTTTAAATTAGGTTGTTCCTTCTCCAGATCTCAGTGTTGATGGGTACTATCCTTTGATTCACAAAGACTATAATATTCACATGCTTGGCTCAAGGGTATACTTATTCCTCAGCTCACCTATTTGTCAATAAATCAGGTTAGAATCCTTTGACAATTCTTTTATATGCTTCTGCTTGGCACCTCTTCACTCTATCACCTTTCTCTTTGTCCTTTATCATTCGCCTTCTTCCTAAGACTGCACTATTTTAGATGTTTTTCTTTTTTGATCAAAATGATCGTGCCCTTTCTCTTTACCCCTCTGCCAATATTATTGTTATTGATGACTTTAATGCTCATCTCATAGAATGGTTTGGCTTTAACACCACTGACCCTGATGGCACTGAAGCCCATAACTTCTGCATTTATCTTACTCAAATAGTTAACTTTGTGAGTCATTCTCCTGCAACCCTATTTGCTTACTTCTCTCCTTGATTTGTGTCTTGTCTTAGACCCTAGCTTGTACTCAGTTGCTCTTTGTTCAATTTGTCTAGTTTTTTCCCTGCACTTTAACCCTTTGGAGCTCTCTCCCATCTTCATGTTTTCCTGACTCACACAACCTACAAATTTTTACGTCTTCTGTCAACGGTTTCCTTTTCTTTTTAACTCTCTTCTTTGTTTTCTAGTAACTCCCAACTTAATAGTAGTTGCTTGCAGCCTTGTTAAGAGTGGAACAGAATAAAAATAAAAAAACAATGAAATTTTTGTTAAATTGACTTTTAGGAATAAATTTCTAGACAACTGATTTTCTTCACCTTGTGGAGTATACTTTGTGAAACAGAGATTAGACAAGCTTATTGTCAATCATTTGTTTTTTTTTTACTATACTGTTTATTTTATACTTTATTATACTTTTTAATTTTTATTTTTGCTATATACACTAGGTATTCAGTGTGCTAAAATATTTTTATTAAATTTTTTTTTTTTGAATTAGTAAATTTTAAATTAAAATTTTTTTTTCTTAATTTGATTTAAGGAAGTTGAAAAATTGCGTGGCCAATTAAAAAGCAAGGAATCTGATCTTACTAAATTGACAACTATTAATGAAAATCTTGAGAATCAAGTTTCGAAACTTAATAAAAAAATTGACCAACAGAAACAAGAAATTGATGGATATGAAACTAAAATAAACTGGGCTCAAAATAAACTTAAAACAGAATTAGAGGCACATAAGGTATGTAGCTTTACAAAGCTATTTATATATTTTTATTAAATGCACATGCACATATATATACATATATATGCACTAACATATATATATATATATATATATATATATATATATATATATATATATATATATATATATATATATATATATACATACATATATACATGGTATGTGTTTCAAATATGAATTTTTTTTTTTTTTTTAAATTAAGGACTCAAAAAAGCAGATTAGTATACTTACTGCAAAACTACAAGAATCAAAAGAAGAAGGAAGCCAAATAAGACAAAATTGTCAAGAAATGATTGAAAGATATCAGGTATAAAATATTTCTAGTAATTGTAATAAAATTTAGCAAATGTATTTGCTAAAAAATATAATCTTTTTTGTACTTTTTTATCTGCACATGATTTATTTCAAAAAAAAACTGTCAATCTTTAGTTTACTGAACTTTTAAATTTAAATTAAAAATTTTATTTTTGCTTTTTAGTACAAAAAAGAATATATTTTTTTACCAAATGTTTTTGCTTTATTTTATTTGTTGCTTTTTAGTCTTTACTATTAGTTACAGTATTTAACAATAACAATTTACACAGGCCAACAAAAAAAAATTTTTTCTGGTGCCGAGCAAACAATTAGTTTTTTTTATAGTATTTTTCATTTTGATTTAAAATATGCAACTAATTTTTCACCATCACATCAAGTTGTAAAGATATTTGGGTTCAAATCTTTAGTATTTGGGGTAAAGTTCATAATATTGTCGAAAAAAAAGTTATTTAAAAGTATGTCAACCTGGGTCTCAAAAGAAGCATATTTTTCATAGAGATTTTGAAAAATATAAATATTTTTTCTTAAAACTGATTGACAAAAAAATTATGTGAAAAAATACTAAAGACTCTTAAAAAATTTTAACAAAATGTTTTTGCGCAATAATACAAAAAGTACTTATTTTTATTACAAACGAATAACATTTTTGAAATCTCTATGAAAATACGCTTCTTCTAAACCCAGGTTGGCATACTTTTGAATAACTTTTTTTTCAACAATATTAGGGATTTTACCCCAAATACTAATGATTTGAACTCAAATATCTTTACAACTTCACGTGATGGTGAAAAATGAGTTGCATATTTGAAATCAAAATGAGAAATACTATTAAAAAAAAAATTGTTTGCTAGGCACCAGAAAAAAAAATGTTGTTAATTAAATATTTATTATTGTTATATTTATTATTTATTATTATTATTGTTATTATGCATTGTTGTTGTTATGTCAAAATATTATTGTTAAACAGTATTCAGAGCAAATAAGAGGAAGAATTACGATTAAGTTCCATATTAGCAAGTAACATTGATTCAATATTGATACAATATCTCAATGTTCACTAAATGTTGCTAACAATATTACGTCAATATAAAATGTCCACATTTAGATATAAATATAGCAAATATTGATTTCCAATATTGGCGATATATATACTGCAATATAATGCAAAAGTATTTTTTTTATCATTATCAATAAAATAAAAAAATAAATTATAAAAAGAGCACCCCAGGAAGAATTTAACTTGCAACTCTGTTAACCACACCTTAAATTAGACATCTAATTTAAGGTGTGGTTAACAATATGCGGCTTTAAGTCCTCCCTGTGGTGGACCTGAAGCGGCAATACTATCACCTGTGCCTCAAAAGAAGTGTGTTACATACTCAGAAAAAGTTACTTGGTGAAAAGTTTTGGTCAAGTGAAAGAAAAGATTTTAAAAGTTTGTAAAAAGTATTTAAAAAAAATTGAATTTTACTTATAATCAGAGTTATAGATAGAGAATTATATATGCATTTTATTTTCAATGAATTGTCTTTTAATAATTAATATCTTTTGTAGAGTGTATAAAGCATAGGGGGATATTATTATGAGTCTTAAAAAAGATGATTCAACTTTTAAAAGTTTTTAGAGATAAATGAGGGTTTTAAGAGAATGATTTAGAGAATCAATAGTGTGAATGGTCTTAAAGAATGATTTAGTTTATATTATTATCCAAAAATTTATGCTATTACAAAAAAATCATACGAAAAAATCATTAAGAAGATGATAAAAAGTAAATTAAAAATACTTTTGGTGTTTTTATGGTGTTTTGCTAAAAAGAAATAGAAGCAAATAGAAAAATAAAAATAAATATTAACACCAAATAATAAAGAAGCCATTCTATTTTTGATTTTTTATAAATGTTTTCTTTTGAGCGTACAATTTAATTATTTGTATTTTAACCCAAAGTTTGCAAAATAATGACAACTGCAACCAAGCAAAAGTCAAAAACTGTTCAAGTCAAATGCAACCCACAAAAGGAAGTTAGTATCCTTAAGACACAAGTTGCTTTAAAATGTGTGATACCAAAGAATATACAGGCTTAGCCTAACACTTATATTTTTCATGAATTACATTTATATCTTTAGTTAGCATTTTAATATAAATTTTTTTTTGTCTGTTATCAAGTTTTTCTTTTTTAAATTCCACATGTTTAAATCAAACAAAAAATGATAATAATACAATATAATAATAATGATAATAATAATGATAATAATAATAATAATAGTAATAATAATAATAATAATAATAATAAAAATAATTAATAATTATAATTTATAATAATATTTGTAATAGGCTAATGAAGAAATTGAATCTGTACGTCTGAAAATTGAAGCAAAAGAGAAAGACCAACGAATTAATGAATATCGTGAAATAATTGAATCTTTTAATAATGTAAGTAACTTTTTTTTTAAAAATATCTTTATTTAATTATAATTATTATTTAACTAGTTTCATTCTTAGAACATTATTAGTTTCATTTTTAGAAAGAAGAACAATACAAAGCACAAATTAAAATTTTAGAACGAAAATCAAATGATATTCTTGAAGAAAATTTGCAATACAAAGACATGGTATGAAAAAAGATTTTTTTTTGAAGTTTTAAAATTTATTTGCTTAAAAATATGTTCTAATATATTATTGTTTTTAGTATATGTATAATTATATAAATTTTTAATAATTGATTTAATAATTGATCATTTGTTAAAATTAAAATGACCATTTTAATTTGCCAGACTTTACCTGTTCATTTTAAGATCTCTTAAGTATTCAAAATATAGCTACTGCTGTATTTTATAGTTCTTGCATTTTAATAAAAAATTTTAAGAACTCATAATTTTTTATTTTCTTGAATTTTTTTAACATGTTGAAAAGCCATTGAATAGTATTTATATTTTTAGAATTAATATTAGTTATACTTTTAGCAAATAATATAAATTATATTCCATTAGAAATACTTTTAGCAAATAATATCAATTATATTTCTATTAGAAATACTTTTTAGCAATTAGTATTTTAATATTTTATGAAATCATTGAACAAAAAATATTTTTATTTAAAATAATAACACTAAAGTTTTTTTACTGTTTAAATTGCTACATTTTCAATTGAGAGAAACATTTGCAATTTTAATGTTAATTTAATCTTAATGTTTTAATTAATTAATTAATATACAATAATTAACTTATCTTAATCTTTAATGTCAAATTAAATGTATTAAATATAATAAAGATACACTGATTACATATATATATACATTAGTTTTTCAAAATTTTCAGGTTTTAAAACTTAATGAAAATAATTTGTCGCTTGAAAATATTCTTAATGAGAAAGAAAAGGATTGTGCAGAAATGAAGTGCAAGATTGATGAGTTGAATGATAAACTGGAAGTCTTGAATAATTTAAAAGATAATTGCACAAGGTATTCTTAGTTTGTGTTATTTTAGTATTATATTGTGATATGTTACATCAAAGTAGAAAACATTTTTATCTCTTAAATAAAGCTATTCTCTTAAATTTTTATCTCTTAAATAAAGCTATTCTCTTAAATTTTTATCTCTTAAATAAAGCTAAATTTTATGATTTTACTCTATTGGAATAAAGGAGTTCAAAAAAGTGAAACAAAATGTCAAAAATAAAGGAATTGAAAAATAAAGTAATGAGAGATTTAAAAATAAAGTTAAATTTCAAATGAGGGATTTTAAAAAAAGGTCAAACATCAAATATCAAAAATAAAGGAATTAAATATTAGTCAAACCACAGCCAAAAAATGTTGTTATTTATTACAACATTTTATTTAACTTGTTTTCTTGCCGGTTTGTTTATTAACATACCGATTTATAAACCAAAATATGCTTTGGTTTATAAATTGTTAATTGAAGTTGGTAAATGTATTTGGTAATTAAATTGGTAAATGAAAGAAATTGTTGAGAAAAGTAATTAAATAAAAAGTAATTAAATAAAAAAACACAAAAACTACGAAATTTACGAAATACGTTTTTTAGTACGAAATTAGTTTAGCGTAAGTAAACTTTTTTAGAAGACTAAAAAGTAAATTAAAAAAAATATATAAAAAAACAATATATTTTAAAAATGGACTAAAAAGTAAAAAATAAATTATTTCATGGGACCCAAGAACTTTGGGTGGGTTCACAACCTAAAATATCCATTAAAGTCAATGACTGAAAATCTGAAAATGTTGGGCCCCAAAAAAATGAGTTGTACTTATTTGCCCAACATTTTCAGTCATTGACTTTAATGAATATTTTAGGTTGTGTACGTACGAAAAGTTCTTGGGTCCGATGAAATAGTTTATTTTTTACTTTTTAGTCCATTTTTTTATAAATGTATTATTTTTCTAAATTCTTAATAAATAAAAAATCCAATTTGCCAGTAATACATTAAGGTTAAAAATTAAAAGTATTTTCAGGAGTTTCAATTTCTGTTGAAGTAATTGTACTGCAGTTCCTTGCCTAAACTTTTTTAATCATTTAACAGCATATATAGCAAGTATAACATAGTTACAGTTGTTTTTAGATTTTTAGATGCGTGTGGTTAATATAATATAATTTTAGTTGTTTTTTTGTTTGTTTTTTAATAAAAAATAGTTACTAAAAATTATTTATAATTCAGCATATATTTTATAGTTATTAATTAAAATTAAGTTTTTTTTAAATCTAATTTACTCCCAGGCTGCAAGCAACTACTATTAAGTTAGGAGATACTAAAAAAAAGAATAGAGTTAAAGAGGCAACAGATACTAAAAAAAAGAATCGAGTTAAAGAGTTGACAGAAGACTTAAAAAGTTGTATGAATCAGGAAACAAAAAAAATTGATATTTTGACTTCCCAAAATGAATTCTTGCCTCTAATTGCCATAAATGAATGAATTATTTATAGATAAATTTAAAATTACTAATTGTGTTTGCTTTTTTTTTTTTGTTCGTATTGCCTAAAACTTCTTTTTATGTAAAATAAGTTGTTATGGAGGCATTTTGTATTAACTATTTATTTAAAATTTTTAAAATATTTTATATATTTTATAAAAGTTATTTTTTGATATTTAAAAAAATTCAACTTTAAATTACTTGCATATTATCTAACTTCTTTTTTTTTTTAATTAGTAGGCAATTTGAATGTTAATAGTTTGCGAGTTTCTATTTAAAAAATGCATTGATTATATTTAAAATTATTCAAAAATATATATATATAAATTGGTTAATTTTTAAGCATTTATTGTTTTTGTAAAGTTTAGTCATGAAGAATTATTACTAAAATAAAAATGTGAACAAATAAAATAATAAAAATTTTGATCACCCAAAAAAAAACAATTGACTGTCAGTTCCATGTATTCTTAGTGCCTTCTTATTTTACATGCTAAATATTCTAAAAATTTTACCAGATATACCATATGAAGCAAGCTTATGGAGAAGACCAGCATGCCAAATTTTATCAAAGGCTTTACATGCCAAGAGCAATAGCCCTTGCCTCACTGCCCCTATCAATTGCATGATCTTCATTCACAGCAGTTAGAAAGTCAGGTGTAAAATGAGATGATTGAAAGTTGATTGTCAGAGAGTTATTAGATTAGTTATTAAAGTCTAGATTTGATGTTGGAGTGTTAGAGATTTGTTGATCTCTAAGTCTTAAAGATCTTGCTAATAATAGAGAGAAGACTGATCAGACAATAGTTTGAGGGGTCAATATTCTTTAAAAGTTTTTTAAAATCTGAATATAATATAGAGGTTATTGAGAAAAACTGGAATAGCAGGAAGAGTATAGCTTAGTATACTAAAAAGTATACTACTAGAAGAGTATGGCTTAAATTCAAGAGTCAAATTAGAGCAAAAGTTTGTTGCATATAGTTCTGCCTTATCCTTATAGGCAAGTGATTAGGATTGTTTGGAAAACGAGTCACAAAGTTAATTATCTGAGTAAGAGATTGAGAAAAACTTTTGTGCAAGCAGGATTAGTGTTGTTTAGATTGAGAAAAACAGTTGTCTTTTAGCAACACTACAGCAAACTAACAGATTGAGAAAAACAGTTGTCTTTTGTGCAAGCAGGATTAGTGTTGTTAGAGCCAAGCCATTCAGTGTGATGAGCATTAAAGTCACCAATAACAACACTATTGCTGACCACGCAAATGGTTTTATTTTTTGACTACTTGACCACGATTGTTTATATGTTTTGATGATATGTTTTGAACATTTCAGAAATGCGCTGAATGTAGAAACTCTAAGCTAAACTTAAACTAGAAAAAAGTTTAAAAAAAACTAACGAAAAAAAATATATAAGCACTAAAATTAAAATAAAAAATAAAAACAAAGACTTAAAGTGAAACCTTTTGTTACGTTTTTAATTATGTTTGAAATAAATGTTATGTTATGAAACTTATCTTTTTAAACGTTTTATTAAAGTTAGGCAAAATGCTTTTAAATCAAGTAACAAATTACTGCTAATAATTGTTTAATAAATGAACAAGTTTTATCAAATTTATTAAAAAGTGTTGTATATAATATTTTTAAATAGTATAAACATTTAATTTTTCAAAAAAGTTGCAAAAAAAAAAAAAAATTTTTAAAATAATTTTATGCTCAATTAGTAAGTCAAGTTAAAAAAACGTCCCATCAATGAACTTTTAGCTCATTTAGTAAGCCAATTTGACTCTTTTAGATAAATAAGTTGGCAAATGTAACAATTTGGTAAATTTAAAAAAACAAGGTTTTTTTTTTTCCATTTTCTAGTCAGCTAAAATTTTAACACGCTCTCTACTACTACTCTCTACCTACTTGGCCCTGTAAGCTACAGTATATTACAATAATTCGTTTTTATTATGTGCGACTTTTTTGGATCCAAATTATAAAAGTTTTCAATTCTTTGAAAAGTACGAGAAAAAATTTTTTTTTAAATGCATTAGAGAATTTTTATTGGAATTTCATTTGACAAAAAAAGTTTGTGATATAGTTCCAGTTAAAAAGGCGACAATCGAATCAAAAAAATTTAAGTTATCATTTAGCGATGAAGATGATGATTCGGGAAATGATAGTGAGAAAATAATAAGTTAAGATTTAAAAAAAGAAATTAGTGGTTATATAAAATTGTCAGTAAATAAGCAAAATGTTTTTACACTTTTAGCATCAAATTCAATGTGTTTCCAATATTGTATTGTAATTCAAACGGAGGGAATTTAATACTCATTTACAATTTTTAAGTGAACACAATATTTTTATATCTTCTGTATTTAAAAAAACTAGAATGCCAAATGTTTCTACTGCATTATTTCTAATTTTTTTTTACTGTATTTTTTTATCTACTAATTTTGTTAACTAAAACATTAGTCAACTAATTTTAGTTAACTAAAATGTTAGTCTGGTAATTTTAGTTAACTAAAAATTAAGTTGACTAATTTTAGTTGGACTAAAAATTCAGTTGGGTATTTTTAGTTAGACTAAAACTAACCATAACTTCCACCCCTTTTAGCCTCTCTGCAAGCAAGCCTTCTCAGGTGGCATTTGCAGTTGCATGCTTTATATGACCACACATATAATATTTTGTTTTAATAACTTGGCCACAGCTCCTTGCATGTTTTAAGTTAGCGCGTTTAAAAAATGTGCTGAATAAACAAATGTAAACTTAAACTTAAAATAATCAAACTATAAACTGGAAAGTGAAATAAAAATTTAAAAAAAAATGCAAAACTAAATTAAAAAAATCAAAATCTTAACGAATGATGTATAAAAAATAAACCCAAAAAAATAAAAGCATAAAGTTTTTATTTTAGTTTAAAAGTGTTTCTCTGCAAAAAAATTTAGAAAAAATAGAAGTTTTAAATTATTTAATTCAAGCCTAATTACTTCGAAACTTAATTATTTAAAAATTCTGAAGAATCAAGAATTTCTATGTAAAGTAAATTTTTTCATCAGTTTCTACTGTTAAAGCATATAATATATTATTATTATACTTTGACTAAATAAATTGAAGTTGAGTTTTTGGATTTACAAATGGCAAATGAACTAAACAGATTTACAATATTGGATAATGTTAATGATGATGAGAAAACTCCTTTTAATGTTTTCTCCAAAGAGTTTTTTGTTTTTTATTTAAGCAAATTTTTCTCTTAAACATTTTCGATTAAGTCTTGATTGTGTTTCAATCGCAATTTTTCTATGAGATAACTACTGGAAAACATAATTAAAGCAGAAACATAACTACTGTTAGGTATTACTAATTTTTTAAAATAAAAATATGCAAAAATGCCGAAGAGCTACTAATTAAAAAAAACAGAGTTGATTTCCAAATGTCGTCATGAAAATAAATTTTTATTAAGCAACCACAAAGATAAAGATTAGATACACACGCTCATAACAAAAGTTTTTCTGCATATTTTTACATAACTAGTTTCAATTGTATATAATTTTTTTTA